TTGCACAGTCTCCTTGCACAGTCTCCTTGCACAGTCTCCTTGCACAGGAAAATTTTTAAAAACCTAATTTAAAAATCTATCTCAGCCGCGAAAAGACTTGATGATCCAGCCTCGGTAGCCCTCTGTGGTAAAGAATTCTGCAGATCCTCTACTGTCGGAGAGAACAAATTCCTCCTCATTTCCCTCTTAAATGGGTGACCCCTCATTCTGAGATGATCCCCTCCAGTCCTGGACTCTCCCACAAGGGGAAACAACCTTTCTACATCTCCCCTGTCAAGACCCCCCCAGAATCTAGTCTGTTTAATGAGGGAATGATGGGTCATGTGGCAAAGACATGAAAGTGGAGTTGAGGATGATCAGATCAGCTGTGATCTCACTGAATGGGGGAACAGCGTAGATGGGCTGAATAACCGAAGACTGCATCTTCTGGTCTTTGTGATTTCCCAGCATCAGGGCTCAGTAGCACGTGCAGTATGCCTGCCTGCCTCATGGGACGCTGTGGGGAGCACACAGCAGAGGGTCAGCACCTTCTTGTGTCGAACACACTGGCCTTGGTCTCACAGTGATTGGTTGGTCCAGTGCCTGTTGAGCGAGGCTGGAGGGGGTTACAATGAGGAACCACACATTCCCAGTCTTCCTGGTCTTGTCACCATGTGTTGGGGATGCGGGTGCGCAGTGGCTGCCCTGTTGCCCCATGTGCCCACAGTCAGTCGTTGGGGTAGGATACGGCAAGAGAGCCATGGCTGCCAATCTCACTCTGTAACCCTGTTGCTGTTATCAATACCCATCAGTTCACAGCTCAGACAGCATTCGAGCTGGGGGGTGTGTATCCATACCATCTCAGAGAGACTCTGTGTTCAGCTCTGCACCATCCTCACCCACTTTGCGGGCTGTCTGCTGCTCAAACCCTTGTCCAGGCCCCCCTCGCCCCCCTCACCCTCCAACAACGGCTGCATCACCAACACCCACCACCCCGCCGTCCTTCCTCGACCAAGAAGTTTTTGCTAAATATCTGATAGCTCGTTGTGATATGTATGTTTTATAACACTCCTGTGGAGCACCTAGTCATGGCACAGATGCTACATGAATGTATGTTTTTGCGAATGGGGGGGTGCTGCTTCCTGTGGGTTGCAAGCTCTGTGTTTGCACTGTAGCTTGGGACTGGACGACCGTGGATGGTGGTGGTGGGGGGTGGAGATGGTTGTGTGTCTGCGAGAGTGGCTTCTGTGTGTGTGCCTGCGTGTTTGTCCGTGTCTGTCTGAGAGTGCTTGCGTGCGTGTCTGTGGGGGTAAGCATGTGTCTCTGTGCGTCCTCCCACAGGCACTCCAACAGATCAGCCTCTGACTGCTCCCGCTGGGCCTGTGGAAGGTCGGTGGGGGTGGTGGGGAGGCTCGTGGTCGGTCAGTCCCTCCTGTGTGACAGCAGCAGACCAGGAGGCTTCCCATGCACGGGCTGGTGGGGACGAGGGGCTGAGCTAGACAGACAGTGAGAGAGACACACACAGAGGTCATTCTTGTCTGAGGCATTGCCATGTTTGTCTTGAAGCAGGCGAGGAGACAGACGGCAGCTGCCCCTTGCAGGAGGAGATGGAGCAGGTAAAGATCGGAATGCTAAATGGAGGCCATCGGATTGACTACGTGCTGCAGGAGAAGCCCATTGAGAGTTTCAACGAGTACCTGTTTGCCCTGCAGAGTCACCTCTGCTACTGGTAAGGGCACCGTGTGAACTGAAGGACTGGGGGTTGGTGGTGGGTGGGTGGGCAGGGATTGCAGGCAGTGCCAGAGCCAACTGACTGGCATCCTCTCTGCTCTGATCAGGTGATGAGGCTGAACAGGGAGCACCTCTGGAAACCCCTGTCTACCAGACCCTGTAGCTGTCCCCTGGACCACTGAGGTCACTGACCCACTGGGCTGCCTCTTCCTGGGGCTGTCCAACCCAACTCACGGTCAGTCACCAGTTACCCAGTACCCCCTGCCTGCATGGTTTTTTTTTTCCTCTGTTCCCCCAGTTCCCAGTATCCCCTGCTGGATTTATTTTTTTTTTTGCTTTTCTCCCAGTTCCCCTTGCCTATGTGATCGCTGTGCATGTTCATCTGGCCTTCATTTCTGAGGAGGAGCTTGGTTTATGTTTTTTAATCGTGTACCCTGCATTGAAGGCTGTGCGTGAATGTATGTTGTCATCGATTTTTGCCTGTCCCTATCCTGACCAGTTGGCCCAAGAGCCAGGTGAACCTTTCCAGTCTTGTGTCTCCGTGACAAACTCTGAGATATTGTTAGACCATTGATCAGTTTAATACACGTCTCCCCACCTCTGTCGTTTCCCTCTGCTGTTTAAAATCTCATTTATCCTGAAACTGAGCTATTCCTGTTGTCTGGTCCCTCCAGGGAGTCTGAAGACACCGCACTGTTAATTCTGAAGGAAGTCTACCAAACGTTGGGGGTCACCTTGGAACAAGTGCAGCACTGATGGGTTTGGAGCAGCGAGCCACCACCAACTATCAGATTGACACGAACTGGACCCAAGGCAGGAGTGGGCACCTTGGAGCTGGTTTTGGAGCAATTCTCATGGCTACCCTGGGGTGACCTTGCTTCCTCTGGTGGAGGAGCACTGAACTGGTGTAGACTCTGTCTGTGTGTGTTCTCCACAGGCTTTGAGGCCAGGTCTGATGGCCAACCTGTGGGAGCTGACCTTTTTAATCTATCTGGGTAGCTCAGCAAACGGCAAGTTTGTTCCCAATCGGACCTCTCGACGGGGGAGCGAGGGGATTGACTCACCTACAAACTCTCAACTATACAGTCACTGGGTTGATCCTGGATGCTGCTGAGGGGCTGTGTGCCCAGTGTGGACAACTGTGGCTCTTGAAGGACCAATCTGCACAGACTTATTTATTTTCTACACCTTTCATTCACATTAAAATGGCACTTTGAAGATGAGCATGTTTGAGGAGGATCATTGGAAGTCGTCTTGTTTGATGAATGAGTTTCCTATTGAAGCTTTGGTAAATGTAACTCCGAGTAAAGCTACATACTAACGAGGTTTCCCAGTTGGACCTGCTATTGGTCTGCGCTCTCTTCCCTGCTCCACACTCACTCCACAGAGAAATGCAGCACTCACTGCGTCTGTGTTGGGGTGGTGGTGGTGGTGGTGGTGGGGGGGGGGGGGGCGGGGAGGGGAGGTTGGTGGTGGGTGTAAGGGATTGTTAGGAGAACCAAGTGCAATGTCACCTTTGTAACAGCAATAAACAGCTCACTTTTTCTCAGTCTTGCACCGGCTTTGTGGAATCTCTGAGCAGTGTTATGTTGGACGTGGAAATCGCAGACTCTGGTCTAGCCCTTGCAATTTGTACGATCCCTCAACCAATAAACTTAAGGAAATCTTCCTGTCCTCCTCTTTCTTGCTGCAAGTGCTACATGTGTCATCCTTTATTCTTTCGGGCTGCTCTCCTTGTCCTGTTGTGAACTCCCCCCATTTCTTTTCCTGGTCCCCAAATCACCGACCGTGTAACCACTGTGGATTGGTGAATCCGATGGGTGTTTATGACCATCTCCTGGGGAGGCAGATCTGCCGTCCTGACACGGACCAGACCGACAGGAGACTGCAGACCCACAGCCGCATGGCTGTGTCTGAACTACCCTCTGAAATGGACAAGACAGCCAAGGGCAACTTGCAGTGGGCAAGAAGGCTGGCCCAGGCCATGATGCTCATGTCCCATCCATGAATTTTGCCAAGAATGTATGAGTTTTGATTGCAAAACTTCAGTTATGTTAGGTGGAATGTTTCCATCTGAAAGTGTTAAAGCAGGGCAGCATGTTGTAAATGCCCTAACATTAATCTTTTGAGTATTCCCTCAATACGAGTCATGTCGCTGATTGGGAAATTGCTCATCGCTCCACTTTTCAAGAAGGAAGGCTGGGAATTATAGATCAGTTAGCCTAATTATTGGCATTATTTGAATCCGGATGGGGTTAGTGAAGTGGTTGCAGGACACCTTGCTGAGATATTTGTATCATCGATAGCCACAGGTGAGGTGCCAGAAGACAGGAGGCTGGCTAACGTGGTGCCATCCTTTAAGAAAGATGGTAGGAAAAGCCAGGGAACGATAAACCGATTGAGCCTGGCATCAGCAGTGGGTAGGTTTTAGGAGAGAATCCTGAGGGACAGGATTTACACTTATTTGGAAAGGCAAGGACTGGTTAGGGATAGTCAACACGGCTTTGAGCGTGGGAAGTTGTCTCACTGAACAGAGATTTTTGAAGAAGTGACCAAGAAGAGTGACGAAGGTGGAGCGGTAAGTGCTGTCTGTATGGGATTTCAGCAAGGCATTTGGCAAGGCTCTGCATGGTAGATTGATTGATTTGTAAGGTTAGATCACATGGGATCGAGCAGGGGCTGGCCAATTGGATGCAAATTTGGCCTGAAGGTACCTCCTGTGTTTTTGGACTCGAGGCCAGTGTCCAGTGGTGCAGGGTCCACTGTTGTTTGCCATTTAAGTAAATGGTTTGGATGTGAACATGGGAGGTACGATTAGTAAGTTTGCTGATGACACCAAAATTGACGTCTAGTGGACAGTGAAGAAGGTTACCTCAAGAGTACAAAGGGACCTTGATCAGATGGGCCAAAAGAGGTTAATTTAGATAAACGTGAGGTGTTGCATTTTGGGAAGGCAACCCAGGCAAGGACTTACACAGTTAATGGTAGCCCCCTGGGAAACCAAGAAACCTTGGCGTGCAGGTTTATAGTTCCTTGAAAGTAGAGTTGCAGACATACAGACAGTGAAGAAGGTGTTCGGGATGTTTGCCTTCATTAGTCATAACATTGAGTGTAGGAATTGGAATGTTATGTCGTGGCTGTACGGGACACTTTTGGAATACTGCAGACAATTCTGGTCACCGTTCTACAGGAAGGATGTTGTTAAACCTTCAAGGGTGCAGAGAAGATTTACAAAGATATTGCTGTGGCTGGAGAGTTTGAGCTATTGGGAGAGGCATTATAGGCTCGAGCATCAGAGACTGAGGAGTGATCTTAAAGACGTTTATAAAATCATGAGGGGCATGGATAAGGTGAATACCCAAGGTCTTTTTCCCAAGGTGGGAGAGTCCAAAACTAGAGGCCAAAGGTTTAAGGTGAGAGGGGAAAGATTTAAAAGGGACCTTAGGGACAACCTTTTCACGCAGAGGGTAGTGTGTGTATGGAATGAGCTACCAGAGGAAGTGGTGGAGGCTGGTACAATTACAATATTTAAAAGGCACCTGGATGGGTACATGAATAGGAAGGGGTTCGTGGGATATGGACCAAATGCTGGCAATTGGGACTAGATCTGATTGGGATGTCTGTTTTGATGTGGATGAGTTGGACCGAAGGGCCAACTAGTGGGCACTTCAAAGGTTTTCAGTTTTGGACTGGAGGCCTGTGTCCAGTGGTGCAGGGTCCACTGTTGCTTGCCATTTAAATAAATGGTTTGGATGTGAACATGGGAGGTATGGCTTGTAAGTTTGCAGATGACACCAAAATTGATGTCTAGTGGACAGTGAAGAAGATTACCTCAGAGTACAAAGGGACCTTGATCAGGTGGGCCAAGGAGTGACAGATAGAGGTTAATTCAGATAAATGCGAGGTGTTGCATTTTGGTAAGGAAAACCAGGCAAAGACTTACGCAGTTGATGGTAGGCCCCGAGGGAACCAAGAAACCTTGGCGTGCAGGTTTATAGTTCCTTGCAGGCATACAGATAGTGAAGAAGGCATTCGGTATGTTTGCCTTCATTAGTCAAAAGGCAATGAGGTAAAAGAACAGATGCAGGCACAATGGGCTGAATGGTCTCATTCTGTGCCAGAACAATCCTGTGATTCTGTGACATGTAATGAGTTTGCCTGAAATTGAATTGCCTGTAACAGTGCAGTGTTTCCCCATCGCCATTTCTCTACACTATGGAGGGATTGAGGGGCGTAGGGAGAAGCTTTCCTCTAAAGGGTGCTGTTCATTCGAAATATTCATTGAGTATCTCTCAAATTTGGGGAGACATCAAAGTGGAAGGAAGCACTCAACCCGATAAGGGAACATAAAACTTGAGATGAGATCAATTTTAACAAGTCTCAGGAGTATTTCAAATCTCTATTTAGTCTGATTCAGTGTGACAAGATCCATTCTTGACGTACAAAATCAGGGACAGTAAACTCGCCTTTGAGTGTTTGGAGAGTCCAGGAGAAAGCCTAGCCATTTTCACACTGCAGCAGGAACATTGAGGTTGTCCTGGAACAAAGGGCGGTCTTTCAGAGAGAAAGTGAAATCCATGACTGGAGATCCTTGGGGGCTCAGTGGCTGAGCTGGCAGCAAATTGAGACGCTGCAGAGAGTTTGATTGTGTCTGGTCAGCAAACTGTGAGGGTGTGCACGGGGCGAGGAGGAGAAGGAGGGTTCGATCAGGGGCAAGGAAGGTCTGAGGGAACAGAATAGGCCGAAAGAGCCAAATGGTTCACTTTGGTTAGATTGGGTTCCGACATAAGATGTGAAATGCTAACTCAGTCACCCTTCACACACATTGCACTGAGGGGTGAGAGGATTGGCGGAGCGGTTATATGGTGTAGAGCTGCGTTGTGAGAACCTGTTTGTAGGTCACTTTGGTGTGTGGTCTCAAAGTAAAAGGTGGTTGTAATTGACAAGATTACACATGGAGATGTCAAGTGACAAGGGGGAGGTTCTATACTGTATGTGTGAATGGTGTGTGGGTAAAGTGTTTGGTTTTTACTGTTGGAGAGAGGTGCTTGTTTCAAATCTGGCCAGTAGCTTTTAAGGAGGTTGCAAGATATTTTCAGATCTAGGACCATGCAATGTGAAGTCTTGAACCAAGCAGGGAGATGTGTAGGCAAAACTTTCAAACACAGTCTCCAACACTTCAAACTTTGTCTTAATTTTTCAAGGTGGATTTAGACAAAAGGTGGAGTCTGAAAGATGTTGTGGAGAATGGAAGTGTTAACTATAGCCGACAGGGACCAAAAGTTAGCTGCTGTGAGTGGCTCAGTGAGCAGGAACTGTGGGCCTGTGACTAGGAGCAAGGAGGTTGTGAGTTCAAATCCCCTTTTAGCCAGGGTGCAGCAGTCCCCCTATTTTCAGATCAGCAAGGCAATGGAGATGTTAAGGATCAACTTGAAATATCCTGGCAGTATGGAAAGTAGAGTGGCTGAAAGGATGCCTGCTCACCTCCCAGTGATGTGTTAGAATCACAGATGGGTTCAAAGCTGGTTAGAGGAGGGAGGATGAGTGTAGGAAATGCTCAGAGGAAGTGAGATAGAAGAGCCCTGTTGGTGGGAGTAAAAGCTGAGGAGATGAAGGGTAGCGAGGTTATGGTTGCCTTTATGCCACCTTAGGGGGACTGGCCACCCCACCAAAGAAACACCCCTGCTTTGCTCTACTCACACTCCAACTCTTCTCTCAGCCCTGCTTGCGCTCTCACTCCCCGAGCACCCCAACCATTTCCTACACTCATCCTCCCTCCATTCTAACCCCACTCCCTCTGTTTTCTACCTGGCTTTGCCGCGGCTCAAACCTGTCTGTGACCCTACCACATCACTGGGAGGTGAGCATGCATCCCTTCAGCCACTCTGCCTTCCATACTTTTAGGATATTTCAAGTTGATCCTTGACATCTCCAATGCCTTGCTTGGCTGAAAATAGGGGCCTGCTGCACCCTGGCTAAAAGAGGGATTTGAACTCACAACCTCCTCTCTCCCAGCAGAGACCCAGAGCACTTTGTTCACTGAGCCACTCACACCAGCTTAGTCTGGATCCCTGTCAGCTGATTGTTAACACTTCCATTCTGCACATGTCTCAGACTCCACCCTTTATCTAACTCCACCATGAAAATTAACACAAGGCTTGAAGTGTTGGAGACTGTTGTGTACCTCAATCAGATCCCCTCCCCACCATTAGCCAGTCTCCTCTGCTCCAGGGAAACAACCCCAGCCTGTCCAGTATATCCTCATAACTGAGACCTTTCATCCTGGTGAAACTCCTCTGCACCCTCTCCAGTGCAATCACGTCGTTCCGATAGTGCAGCAATCACAGTATTCCATATGGAGCCTGACTAAGGTTTATTCCACCTGCCAAAGGGAACAATTTCACATTTTCCCACCTAATAAACCCATCGGCCAGAGTTTTTCTCACTTAGGCAATCTCCTTGCCTTCTTCATCCTCTGCAATTTCTTCTTCAGTACTTCACCTTCACTCCCTGCATCTAACTCGCTGAAATAAACTGTAAAAAAGCTAAGGCCTCAAAACAGAAACCTCCAAGATTGGTGACATGTATTTCCCCTTGTGACAAAACATGCTGACTTTTTCAATTACTTTCCGAATTTATACGTGTCCATCTGTCAACTCCCAAGGGATCAATTCTTAGACCTTCTCTCTGCAATAGGCACCAAGCTAACTGTAGTTTTCCGTCTCCCTTTCTTCCTCCACAGAATAACTCCTTGTTGCTAGTTCTTGTCTGATGGAACCTGCCTGCTCAGAATCTAGCAAGTTGTGGAAAATGAACTCCAATGCATCTATTACTTGTTAGACACTCCTTTTAAGACTCTGGGGTGAAGTTTATCAGGAGGCTGGGATTTGTCAGCCCACAGCTCCATCAGTTCCCTTCTCCCTTCCACCTCCTAACCCACTGTCACTTCCATAAGATTTTTTTGTATTCTCTACAGAGTAGAGACACGTAAACTGTTTGTTCAATTCATTCATCGTTTCCTAATGAACTCCCCATTCTTGTTGTCAAGAGGACATACACTCACTTTGTCTCTTCCTTTTCAAAAAAAAACTGTGGAGCCTCTTGTCTCCTGCTATATTTAGTTGCCTGAATCACACCTTTAGCAGGAGATGCAAACTCACCAGCTTGTCCATTTGGAGTTTCACTGTTCCTCTCAGTACAACTTGTTCATAACACCATTGCCAACTTCTCACCATGTGCAAAACCAACACCTTTCTCGCAAAAGTCAAGTTCATTATCATTTCACACCCATGCCATTAAAAAGGTCGCCTTTTTCCAGGTCAAATTAATTATGACTGTCATTTTACAAAATCAGTCATGAATTTCCCTTGTTCACTAGCTTTTTTTTTCTTTGTGCTATGTTTTTATTCCCACCTTTTGCATTAAATTATAAAGTCTTAGATTTGCATATCTGCAGCTGCAACACCATATTCTGCATTCTGTTCTATTACCTTTATCTACTTATGTAAGATATAATGTGCCTGGTTAACACGCAAAACAATACTTTACACTGTATCTTGGTACGTGACAATAATTAATTAAATCAATTCATATTTAAAGTTGTGGGCACTTAAAACTTAAAGGTTGATGGATTTTGAGACAAGTAATTCACCAAAGTCTACCATCTACAAGGCACGAGTCAGGAATGAGATGGAGTACTTCCCCACTTGCCTAGATGCAGGCCAGGAATGGACTCAGGAAGTTCGACATCATCCAGGACAAAGCGGCCCGCTTGGCTGGCTCCACAACCATTCTCTCCACCGCCCGTAGAATAGCAGCAGCAATGCGTACTGCAGCATTTCACCAAGGCTCCTTCCAAACTGATACCACCAAGATAGACAAGGGCAGATTCTCTTCTGGTGATCTCTGTTGTCAAACCTAGTTGTGCATATGCTGGAACTAGATCTTTCGCTGACCTCATGGGGTTGACAACTGAGACTTGTGGGAAACTGACCTCTCCCACCCAGAGGGTCAAATGCAGCAGGTACATGGGAACACTCACTATCACGACTTGGAACTATAGCGCGATTCCTTCAGTGTCACTGGGTCAAAATCTTGGAATTCCCTCCCTAAGGGTGAACACACAGCAGGAGGACTGCAGCGGTTCAGGAAAACAGCTCACCACCTCCTTCTCACAGGGCAACTCGCGAACAGGAACAAATGCTCACATGGTACGGAAGAATTTTCAGAATGCCTACTTTCAAAATTCCTTTCACATTTTCATGGGAAGTTCAACGTTTGAAGAATCATGAGAGACCATTTGGCCCATTGTCCCTCTGCTGGATCTTCGAAGGATGAGTCCTCCATTATTCTGTGAGGCCTGTCTTGTTGCTCCTCTTCACCATTCTGTCCGCCTCCCATTCAATAGTACTGCCATTGTAAGTTTCCACCACTTTTTCAAAGCATGTTGCAAATCAGACTGTCCGAAGAACATTGAAACATCACCCAGATACAGAGACCCTCCTCCACAACCATCACCTCCTCTTGCTTTTCTTCGGGATTCCAGCACAAGAGTATTGACAACATTGGAAGCCAGCTAACCTCCAAAAGGAAGACTTGCATGCATTGATCACCTTGCATTGCTCCAGGATGTTCCCAGATGTTTTTCTCAGGCGTGCAGTCACAATTATTGGGCCTGCAGCAGCAAATTTACACACAGCAAGCTCCCCCAAAACAGGCATGCACTTATTAATGGACAGCCCAATGCCATAGTACTGGTGGATGATTACATCAGCTCGACTTCCCCAGACAGTGCCTGTAAAGCATCTTATATGTGCATCCGGGGCCTCAGGACAATGCCTGATCTGGAGGACGACAGTGCAGCACCCCCTCAATACCGCAGTGGGAGCATCAGTGCAGGCTGACCTGCTACAACACCTAGGGGTGGCACTCAACCCACAAACTGCATCACAAAAAAGGCAAGACCTGCAAATCCTGAGCTGCCATGGGCTTCACACTGCCTTTGAGACGTTAAAGATCTCCCTCTCTGTACCTAGATACCGCAGCCCCCCAGCCCCAGACTGCGAACTTGGGATTGTTTTTGAGGGAAGAGAATCTGTGCTGAAATAAATCAGAGCTGTATATGGACAGGGTACCGCACATCAAGGTTCAGAGAGACTTGGGACTTTGAAAGGCCCTGAAGACTGAAGGAAACTGTCGCTCATCAAACAGACCCCTATCAGTGTGCAAGGCCAGTGCGCTGCCTTCATTAAAAAAAAAACAGAGAAAGACCTCAATCTCTTTCAGTCTTTGTTTTATTTCCACACAAACAGAATACTTTCCATGAATACACAGGATTTGACTTTACATTACTTGCTGTGAAGAGCGTGGGACTAGAACATATCACAAGAGCGTGGGACTAGAACATGTCACAGTCTGCCCCTGGATGTTTACAGTACAAGACAGGGCTCACAAACACAACATTTGGTTCCTCCAACCCACCCACCACATTCCAGTGAAATTCACATTCCGTAAGGAGGTAAATACCAACACCCCAAGGGTGTGGTACTTCAGACTTCCTTTCCCTCGGGTCTGTGCTCTAACTGTGCCCAGTTGTAATCTTGAAAAGCAGCAGCATGTTTGATGACATAGATGGTAGCGTGTCTATTTCTCTGGGTATTTACATTGGCATGAAAGGGAGCTGTACAAAGCAGGGCTGGAGATGCCACAACACTTGAGATTATTTATCCTGCAGCTAGAAACGACTGCTATTTGAGAACCACCAGATGGGCAGCCAGGGATCAAAGTGTTGAGAGACAAAGGTGAACCATTTCAGCCCACAGTGTCAGGAGCAGACCATCTGCCAGATAGCCACAAGGCTCCAGATCTGATAGAATCTGTGCTTGAGGTGAGTGCGATTGACAAGAGGGTCAACAATAGATCCCTGCACGACAGCTTGTGTGAAATGGTACAGGTTTGTGGGGTGGCTGGGGGTGAAGAGATGTGTGCATGTCTGTGTGAGTGTCAGTCACTGCTACTGCACTGAACCAGGTCCACAGATTTGAGACAACTGGACCTTGCTGTCCAGGGGCTGGGGGTCACATCCAATCCCACTCTCCACCCACCCCTCCAACCTCTCTTTCCAAATTGAAAGGGACTTTGGGCACTCCATGGCAAACTCAAGTCCTTCCCTACACACGGCACAGCAGAGTGGCAAGCATCCTGCAGAGCATGGAATGTCAACAGGTTCGTCTACGGCCATTGGAACCAGCATGGTCACACATTAACACCACCATCCCAGGGAGAACTGTTCCCCCACCCACCTCAAAAAACTCTGTACAAAATACATGATGCCACCCAACTCCATACCCACAGCAGTGCCAAGCAGTCAGATCAGGGAGCAAAACCCAGGGAGAGGCTCTGCATTCATTCATTCCCATCTACAGTAAGCAAGGGTGGAATGGTCAGGTGTGCTTACTGAAGAATCCCAAAACCAATCCTTGGGATCTTACAGAGAGACAGAATCTGATGGGTTTCACCACAGGAAGCAACATGACCAATGCCTCGCACAACACGACAGAGGGCAAACTGGAGTGCATCTCCCTGACATAACCATGTCAACACTGATACGATAAACCGTTCCGTACCTCACTGTATATTGTCCCCACCTCCACAACCATGTGGTGTCTCGGTGACAGAGTGAGCGAGTGTTTCACCAGAACGAGTGCCACCAGTGATGGGTTCATACTCTTACGAAAATTCTGTCCATAAACCTGTTGTGAAAGGCTGTGGCTAAGTGTGGCAGCTGTTCGGGTTTGGCTCAGAGGACGGCTGTACCTTGAGTTTTAGGATGAGGGCTGGCAGATTTAAAGCAGAAACGAAATGAAATGACATCTCTCAAAGGGTTTGTCAATCTGTCGAATTCACTTCTCCAGCGTGCAGTGGATGCTGAGTAAATTTAAGGAGCACACCGACAGATTTTTAATGAGTTACAGGTTGAAAGGTCATGGAGAGCAGCAGCAATATGGAACTGAAGTCGAGATGAGGTCAGCCATGATCGAATTGAATGGTGGAGCAGGGTCAATGGGCTGAATGGCCTATTCTTGCTCCTAGTTTTAACGTCCTTGTGAACCTAATTCCTGGCAATTGGAAAAAGACGGTTTGTACGTTTTAGCTCGGATTAACTCGGAACTGAACTCCCGGCATCAGTCAAAGTGATGAAGAAGTAGTCAGATTGGTGGAAAGACCCAAATGGGGTCATTAGTGTCCCTTCAGTAAGGAAGGCTGCTCAGCTTTCCCAACTTGGCCTGCAGGTGATTCATCAGAACGGGCCAGGTCACCTCGTGGGGACCCCAGGCTGGATTGACAACGACTCTGATTAAGACTGCAGACAATCGCATAACCCCCAAGCTGTCTTGAACCCCTGGTCACATCACATCCACCGATAAAGCAACCACCAATGCAATGTATCAAAGGACTTGTGCACCACTGACTCATCTTATTCTGGGGAGTGAACTTCAGGCACTGGTCCCAGTGAGCACAGCACAGTGTAGAATTCAGACAGTGCATAGCACTGTGGCTGTTTGCTTCCGCACTGAAGTTAACTCCTTGGAATGGGGGGTGGGGTTGGGGTGTTCAGCCAAGTTCCGAGACTCAAACCGTCATCACCTTCAGAAAGGCATCCAGCCCTAAGTCGAAATGCACTTACTTGTTACAACCATGGTGTATCACTGCCTTCGAACGGTCTGCATTTTATTTGTGAATTTTCAAACTCAAGCAAAATTTTAAGAAAAAGACTTCCATTTATAAATTAAGAAAAGGGGGACAATCAGTCACATTAACTTCATGAACTAATGAAATCTGAATGCTCTGGTGTCTTGCTGGTCCATTTAATTCCCTTGCTTTGCACACGTATTTTGTGTGTGTGTGTGTGTGTGTGTGTGTGTGTGTGTGTGTGTGTGTGTGTGTGTGTGGGGGGGGGGGTGTGCACGCGTGTGTGTGGGTGTTTGTGTGTGTGGGTGTTTATGTGTGTGGGAGAGAGAGAGAGAGAGAGAGTCATATGCGCACTTAATGCAGTGCTGCAGAAGGTCCCATTATAAATATGTGCAAACGTTGCTCCCCCCACCCCATCCAAAAAAAAAGGAAAAGCGAGTTTACATGGCGAGGAGAGGGTTCGTGTTTCCTGGTCCACTTCGCCGAACCGTTGGCTCTCTAAACGTCTAGTTTGAAGGTAGGATTGGACAGCTTCCGCTCCTGCGTCGTGGACAGCTTGGTCTTGGGGTACGGTTTGTGGCTGTCGGGGTCAGAGAGGGACGGGTAATGCTGCCGGTAGCTGGTATAGGCCACGGTCAGTCCGATCAGAGAGCCAGCCACCACATCTACAAGACAAAGTTCGCATTTTACTCAAGGGGACAAGCCCAGCCTCCCCTGCACCCAAAGGCTTACAGTCTCCAAAAGCTGGCCTTGGTCCCAGAGCCAGGGGCTTAGGGACAGAGGAACAGGAGGAGACTATTCAGCCCATCGATCCTGACCGCCATTTCAATATAATCGTGGCTGATCGGGACACATTCCCATTTCAGTCTGTATCATTCACAAATTTCAAAATATTACATTTGGTCCCCAACTCCAAGTCATGGACAAATATTGTGAACAGTTGTGGCCCAAGCACCAATGCTTGCAGTCACCCACATGTCACAGCCTGGCAAAGCAGAAATGACTCATTTATCACCAATCTGTACCAGTGTATAAATCTTCCATCCCACATGCTTCAATCTTTCCAACTCGCCTTCTATTCTTTTTCTCACTATGAATTCTGCTGACTCTTCATGTAACAGACCCACACACACTCAATAAAATAGAAGCTTTCACACTCTATTTTTATGTTTCTTACCAGATTGCATTCAAATAACACACTCCCCTTTCTTATCAGTTACATGGACCTCCTTTGCTGAGTTTTAAAATACTCCCAAGCCTCAGGTTTACGAGTATTTCTGGCAACTTTATCAACTTATTTTAAAAACCTGTTCTAATCCTGATATTTGGTTGTCAGCCACCTTTTCCACGGATCAGTAAACATTGCAAGGGGACCTAACAGAAATGTATAGAGTGAAGAGGGGCACAGATAGGGCGGGGAGGAAAGCACTTTGCATATTTATGAAGCAGTCAGTAACTGGGGATACAGTTCTAAGGTTAAAAAGTGGAAGGCTAGGAATGGAATTGACAGAGAATCTTTTCAGTTACCTTTTGTTTGCACCTTGCGAGAATGTACAGTTACGCGTATTGACGTATAGAGGCCATTCAGTCCATCATGTCCACACCAACAAGAATCCCACTACACTCATGCCATTTTCCAGCTTTTCATGTATTTCCCTGGAGGCTGAGGCAACCCAATTGCATGTCTACACATTGCTTTATGGTTTCTTTCAGGCTATGAGATCCAGACTCCCACCACCCTCAAACTGAAAAGATTCTCTGTAAATTCCATTCTTCGCCTTCCACTTTTTAACCTTAGAACTATGTCCCCAGTTACTAACTGCTTCATAAATATGCAAAGTGCTTTCATCCCCACCCTATCTGTGCCCCTCTTCAACTTACACATTTCTATCAGGTCCCCTCGGATTCTTCACTGACCTGTGGAAAACAACTCAGCCTCCAAACTTTGCTTGTATCTTAGACTCTCCAAAGCAAGCAGCAACCACGTTAATCTCCTCTGCACCTTCTCTCGTGTAACCACATCCTTCCTGTAATGTATTCCACCTGGGACCAACCCAGCACTTCATACAGCTGCAGCATCACGCCCTTGTTTTGTTTTCAAAAGTTCAGCTAAAAAAGGCAAGTACCTCACATGCTGTTCACCACCACGCTGACCAGCCCTGCTACCTTGAGGGTAGGCATTCCAAGGTCCCTCTCATTTCACTGTATCCAAGGGTCCCACTTTTCATTTTGTAAACCCCTTGCCCTGTCAGCCCTCCCCAAGTGAATGACTTCACACTTGTCCGGGTTGAATTCCATTAGTCACTGCTCTGCCCAGTCCATTGGTATCCTCCTACACCTTCCCAGCTATCTTCTCTCTATTTAACAATCCAGCTTGTCATCTGTGAACTTCTTGGTCGTACTCCCCATTTAAGTCGAAGTCATTGATGTACGCCACAAACAGCAAGGGCCCCAGTGCCGAGTACTGCAGAAACTGACTTTGAGTCACAGAAGCATCCCTCTGCCATCATCGTCTGCTTCCTGCCTCGCAACCAATTTTGGATCCAATGTCTCACTGTGCCTTCAATCCCACAGGTTTTAACTTCTTGACCAGTCTGCAACGAGGGACTTTATCTCAAGTCTTGCTAAAAAAATTCATGACCCTCATCAACGCTCCTCAAAGGATAGTTGCTGTGAATTGTCTATGTACAGTCATGCTTTTTCATCTCAGCCAATTCATGCCAAATGCCTTCACAATTTCGCTTCTTCAATTTGCTTTCCTCAGAATGGGCTTCCTCACATTCAAACCTAATGTACAATTCTTTCATATTGTGGTCACACAGAACGCATTGTTCACATTCCCAAAATGACAATTCCGCCTCCAAGGGTGGTCATGGATTGGAACCAGGGATCTCGCAATCCACAGTTCATTAATCCAGCACTGAGCTCCACTCCCCTTGCTGAATATTCCCTGAAACACAGCTATTCAGAGCAGTTGCTGACTATGCTGTGATTTCATCACAGAAAAGGCAAACAGCTTGGTATTATGTAGCCATCATACATCCGAGTACTCAACACAGGACGCTCCTCAAAAATAATTTCAACCCCAAATCCCACATAGGAATGTCAGGCTACGTGACAACAACTTCAGTCACAGGAGGTGGTTTTAATCTGCCCCCTTTGAGGAGGAGACAGAGGCAGAGGGTGAGAAAGGAGAGGGGAGAGGTTGGCATTGAAACAGTTTAAGGTACAGTAGGGGGTGACGCGAAAAATCAGGAAGGCTAGAATTGGAGGAAGTCGGAGAGCAGAGTGAATTGCAACATCGAGTTGGTTTCAGGGATGGGAGAGGACCCCATAAGAAGATACGTATAAAAAAAAAATGGGAAAGTTAAAAGGAAGCTGTGTGGGTCTGGGAGCCAGTGTCAGTCAGTCAGCAGTGTACAGATGGGCGAAACGAACTGGAGCATTTCACTTTGTCAAGGAGTGCTTCCCAAGGTCAGGACATTGCACCGCCTTTTGCGAAGACAGACAAGGAAATCGACAGCGTAAGGGACTCCAGGTCTTTCCTGACTGCTCCAATATTCAATCGGGATCACCCCAGAGTTAAACCGAGGGTTTTCAATTTTTCCAAAGGACCTGCGGAAGGACTGCCAGCTGGGAAAACCCTGCCGAGGTGAGATTTCCTCGATGCGGAGGGAGAGCAGTGACAGAGTAGCCATGTCACTGGATGAGCGAAGGAGGGGACCAGGCAAAGCTCACGGGACAGGGGTTCAAATCTGCCAACCCAAACTCCATTCATAAAATCTGCACTCGCCTCAATAATGGTGGGACTACCAACGATTGTGACGAAGATCCATCTGGTTCACTCATGTCCTTCAGAGAGGGAAAACGGCCATCCTCACCCAGTCTGGCTACATGCGAGTCCAGACTCACTGCAGTGTGGTTCTCCCGCCAGCTGCCCTCTGGCCAATGACTTGGTACGAGGGAGGGGCAACAAATTGCCAGCTGCACCCATATCCCATGCCAGAATAAAGAACAGTGGCTGTGGCCTGAACATTGGTGATAGTTAACTGTGGGAAGGGGGCTTCAAACAGATGCAGGACGAACCATGGAGGGAATGAAATGAAAATAAGATTTCAAATACGCTTCAAAGGTAATTCTTAGTGAAAGATTAGGATCAGTTACATTGAATTCACAGCAGGAAAGCTTGCAGCTCAACCAGTGAATGCAGATGAGCTCCCATCACCAGGTCTCTGTCGTTCTTTCTCCTTGCTGGGATAAGCCAGTCACTGGAGACTCAAATGGGGTTGAGGGTCTGTGACCAGTCCATCTCTCCCTGCCTATGTCTGTCTGCATGAGACAGGGAGTGTGAGAGAGAGCGAGAGAAAGGGAGAGAGAGGGAGAGAGTGCGAGAGAGAGGGAGAGCGAAAGCGAGAGAGAGGGAGAGCGAAAGCGAGAGAGAGGGAGAGCGAAAGCGAGAGAGAGGGAGAGCGAAAGCGAGAGAGAGGGAGAGCGCGAGAGAAAGCGCGAGACAGCGCGTGCGAAAGAGAGAGCACGAGAGAGAGACAGAGTGTGCGAGAGAGAGAGCGCGAGTGAGAGAGAGCGAGAGCGCGCGAGCGAGCGAAAGAGAGAGAGAGCGAGCGAAAGAGAGGGAGGCTGTGTGTGTGTGTGTGTGTGAGTGTGTGTGAGAGAGAGAGAGAGAGAGAGAGAGAGTGCGAGAGAGAGTGCGAGAGAGCGTGCGAGAGAGCGTGCGAGAGAGCGTGCGAGAGAG